GACAGGAGGCAGTGGGGTTTTTATGGTCTTTCTCTTCAGGCGGAAGCTTTTAAAGGACCTCTGGCTGTGCGTTGCTTTGATTCTGGGAAGTATCTTTTCTAACGATTTCCTTGTGCTTTAGCTACTTGTAGCCAGTTGTCTGTTCCTATCACAAAAGGCACATCCGAGATGCACAAGACATACCCTTGAAAACTGCACCGTTGGTAGCCGAGCCGCACCACCAGCTGCTTCTCACTGCTTTGTGAAGCACAGCAAAGTGGTAACTTTACATTTTATATTACGAAAATAAGAGCACAGTGGTGCCGACATTCCTGCGTTCTGGGCTCTGGGGGGGCTGAGGCTGTTGCCCACCAGCAGAGCCCGGCTGGCTGCAGCTCAGCACTTGGGGTCTGCTGAGCCCAGAGGCTCCCCAGAGCTTTGGGGACACCGGGCAGAAATGATACCAGGGAGAAATGATACCAGGGAGGCAGGGGAGGATCTTGTGCTGCAGCAGAGGGGTGAACAGGTGGAAGGGTTTCAAAATGCTGCAAATAGAAGCTGGGAGCAGGAAAAGCTTTGTCTTGAGAAAAAAAATAAACCCTTGGTATGGCTGAGGTATGCCCAAAACCCTTAGTATGCCCCAAAATTAATTTGCAAACTGGCTTAAATGTGGTGAAGTGTGGCAGGAGGGCACTGAAACGTGGCAATGTGGAAGATGGTAGAGCAGATGAAGCCATCTCTTCGCTGCAGATCACGCCCCTACCGTGTCTGCATCTCCTCCCAGCTGACGCGGGGAGTGTGCTAGAGGCCTGGCAGCTCACGGGTCTTACAGGGTCAACTCTGCCTGCGGGGCTGAGAAAGTAAAACCAACCTGGAGCAGCGCAAAAGTACAAAACAGGTCAAGTTTACTTCCAGCATCGTTCCCAGCATGTTACCCTCTCCCAGACAGAAGTCTTTCCCAATCCCGCAGCAGTGCAGTTCAGTAGTCAATGGGCTTAGAGCCATTTCCCGATGGAAGCGATCTCTCAGCTCGTTGGATCCTGAAGAGAGATCCAGGCAGCAAGATGGAGCAGGCTGCTTCCAGCAAAGACAAGAGGCAGCAGCGCTTTGCTCTCTGGGTCTCCCCACGGAGCCCCAAGGCCAGTACCGGCTGCCCGGGTTTCTCTCAGAGGGGGGGCACCCCCCTGAATTTGCGAATGATGTTGGCCAGCCTCTTGGCCAGCCCACCCCGGCTCGGCTCTTCCACGTGAAACGTTCTGGTCAGCAGGTTGTAAAAGGAGCCGTAGCACACTGCCACCACGGTGCAGGTCAGGCAGATGACGTTATAGGGCATGCTGAAGTCTGGCGTCGGCAAGTTCACCAGCAGCGGCTCCGTGTACAGGCGCACAAAATAGCTGGAGCCATCAGAGGAAGGAAACCTGGAGAGCGGAAGCAGGAAAGGGAGCGTCAGCCTGCACAGGACCACCGTTTCATGCTCACCAGACGGGATGACAGCAGCCGGCAGCCTGCAGGTGCTGCAGTACGGCCCCGCTCCCTGGCCCAGGCACACTCACAGCGAGGTGAAGAGAGGGCTCTGCTCCACATCCGTGTCCTTCATTGCAATGACGCTGGGCACCAGGGCACTAAGCACAGATGAACTAAAGAGACAAAGGACACACGGGTGTCAGTCCTGACAGCAAAGAGACGGCAAGAGTTCTTCCCGTCCCCAGAGACCTGGGCAGCACGTCCTACCCAAGGCCCAGAAGGGGATGAGGAGCTGAGGTATGTCGTTACCTGACGTAAAAGCCGTGATTGGGGTCAGGCGTGTACTCTGTCCACTTTAATAAGGCCCTCTCAAACTGGATTGTGATCTTGGTGACAGAGTTGGCTGGCAGCTGGATCAGCATCTCCAAGAGGTGAGGCCGTCTCCGGTCCTGGGCTGGCTGGTAGTGGATATAACCTAACCCCAAAGAGACATGTCAGTGGCACCGGGGGACCTTGTCCAATCTCACGTTGCCTGGACACCTCCGATGGGGTGGGTGCTCCTGCTTCCGCTGTCCCGGGAGAGATTTTCTGGGCAAGTAAAGATTTGCACAGGTAGCAAAAAGCATACGTTAAAGCTACATCTGGCTGGTCTTTAGAGCTGATGACCCATGAAAGTCAGGTGTTCATAAGGAAAGGTACAAATGCAAAGTAAGAGCCAGTCATCAGTTTTAAATCAAGCCTCCTTTACTACAAAAATCAACTCACTTTGTTTTGGACCCTTGTTGGATTATGAAACGCTGCCCACGTGGCTCTTATAAAACAGACTTAATAAAGTCTGATCTGCTGTGAGTGCTGAACTGAAGGCTAGGGAAACATCCTAACATGTTTTGTTACCCAGTCCAGTTCCCCAGTGATCACTGGGGCCCGAGGGAGGGACTAAACCATCTCTGGAATGAGCCGCTTGTGCCAAGGGAACTGGCATGTTTACTTACTTGGCTTGTTTTCCTTCCCCTTCGTGATGATAGTCAGAGTGTGCACGTAGAACCGCAGATACCACGGCACGGTCTCCAGCAGGATCACGGGGAAGGCCCGGTACGGGTGAGTATTGTAGATGAGAGTGCTGATCTCTCCGGTCTGCAGCCCGTATCCACTCACGTAGCGCTGAGCATGGAGAACGGGGGTTGGCAGTTCCGCTGCAAAAGAGAAAAGGACACAGGAATGCGGAGTGATGCCGGCTGATAGTTAGGCCTGGAGCCCTGACCAGTGGTGCAGTGAAGTTCTGGTCGCTCACAGCTGTCTTGGGGCCGCTTCCACTTCAGCTGCACGTTGAGGCTGCGAGATGTATTGAAGAGCGAGGGGCTCAGCAGGTCATAGACGGCATAGGTTCTCTTGTCTCCCTGGACAATAGCTTCGTGTACAGATACTGGAGGGGGGGTCACTTCCAGTAATTCCTTTTCCTGAGAAAGCAAATGGATCATGAAAGGAAAAGTGCCCCTTGAAGTAACCGGCAGTGCTGGGCAAAGCCCTTCCGGCTGTCCCTGAGCTTTCCCACCCAACAGCCAGCTCGGCGCTCTTACACCACCATGCTCATGCCCACAGCCCTGCTCAGAGGAAGGAAACCACCTCCCTTCGTTAGGCATGGAGGGCTCCTGGGGGACGGAGGCGAGGATGTTTCAGAGCCACACGAAGTGGCTGAACTGAGGGAGCAGGGGGTGTTCTCTGGTCCGTGAGCACTACCTTGTTCTTAGGGGAGATGTCGACGTAGACTTTGCTCTGCGATGCCAGAGGACACGCGTCAGTAAGTGTGCGAGAGAACATCTTAAAGAGGGACCAGTCTGTGGGAGGCAAGGCCAGTGGCAGGCTGAGTCAAGTGCCATGGGCACTCAAGGACCACAGCACACTGCCGCCGAGCTTACCTTTCTTTCCTTGGCCGCTGGAAAAGGTGTCAAAGACCACAGTGAGGGTCTGTCTGAGCTCCCAGGACACAGCCAGGCAGGAGGCATCCTGAACAAGAGAAAGAAAGGCAGCTCTGATCACACCTTCTGGAGGGACAGGACACCAGGAGGGAGCTGGAACTCCACCAGGACTGCAAGAATCCCATCGGGACGCAGGTGAGACCAGAGAAGCAGGACAACAGCTGTGTTAGACACAGTGAACCCACCGCAGGGAAGCTGGGCAAACCAGTGTGTCATCTTGCAGTGTCACAAGAAGGCTTTGGATTTTTTCTTGGGGGTCTTAAAGAGGGAGCCTTGAGCCTCGTGCTTACCCTGCAGACAGGGCGGATGTGCACTGCCTGCGAGTGGTAGCTGCTGTGGAACAAGCGCTCGGCCTTCAGCAGCACAGCAAGTCCAGCCTGCAGGGAGAAAAGGAGAAACTCAGCCCCAGGTCTGTTCTCTGCTCCCTCTGAGAGAAAAGCCCTGCTGAGACTTCCCAGTGCGAGTTCCCGGATCGCTGTCAGGAACCCAGCTCCATCGGGAGTGGCCCAGCAAGGCAGCAGGACTTGTCGTTACCTTTGAGCCACATGGGAGCAGCTTCTTCCAAGGCGTGAGGTTCTCTGTGCAGACCACCTCCCTGGGCAGGACGGCATATCGCAGGAGATGGTGATCTGTCCCTGGGCAGGGAGGTGGAGGGTCAACAGGCTGGTACTGCTACAGCCATGAGAGCAGAAGCAGACCTGTTCCATCCCCCAGCGTAACCCACACCCTCTCAATGTCCCTGAAAAGCCACCAGCTCAATCAGGAATAGAGCCCGCTCTGTTCAAAGTGATTTGGAAAGAGTAGGTAAAGGCATGTTCTAGCAGATTTTTTTTCCTGAGCGCCTTAAATCCTCCAGTCCTTGCTAGCTGTTTCATAAAATACTTTTCAGAAAGACAGACTAGGGCCTGGGAGCATCTGCCATGAACTGCTTGTGTCTCCTCTGTTCAAATCCAAGCCTCGTTTGTAGGGAGAGGAAATGCTTCCAGGAGGAGGTTAACAGACACTGTTGTAGACACCCAGACCTGCCCCCGGGTTCCCCGCAGTGCCACGGGGCAGAACTAAAGCTAGAGGCAGGACAGAGAGGGCAGAGCCGGGCTCACCGTTGGCTAAGCCCAGGGGTTTGAAGGACGCTGTTGGAGTGACTGTATTGGTCGAGTCAATGAAGTTGAGAGAAGCACAGAATATTCCCGAGAGGATGTTACTCAGTTCTTTCCAGGCTTTGTCAACACTGTGTAAGAACAGATACCAGAGATTACTAAGCAGCTCAAATCCTTGGAACAACAAGCTTTAAGTCAGTAACATTCAACAAATATACCGGGGCGACAATGCTGGCTTTCAGAAGCCGCAAGGAGCGTGCAGGCAGAGGGTGCTGGTCACGCACTCTCCAGCTCTCTTGGTATTTTATTCTAATGCATGAGCTGTGGGGAACGTTCACCGCAGGGGCAGCCCCTGCCTGGCAGGGCTTCACGCAGCCGAGGACCCAGCGACAGGCGCAGCTGGTGCGTGAGGAGAGAGGCTGGGCGAGCAGGGAGCATGCGGGAGGTGACGTGAGCTGTATGGGGAAGGGGATGCGAGACCTAAAGCAACCCCTTGGTGCAGTTCTGAAGGCTGACCAGACCGGCAGGCAGGGAATGGGCCATTTGTAGGGAGGAAAGAGCTCTGCGAGACCACAGAGAGCTGCTGCCACTCAACCAGGGCCTCTGTGCTACGGGAGATGGCGACAGGTATTGGTGGGGAGTCAAAGGAAGTGAGTCACAGAGGAGAGGTCAAGATATAACCCTGTCATATTAGCGCAGTGAGGCGTTTGTCATCGCAAACCACAAGGGAATTACTCGTTCCTTCAGCGAACGAGGGTTTTCCCTCAGCGTCACATCCTGCCCCCTGCGCTGAGCGGGGCTACGTTCTGCTTTTGCTCAGAGCTGCCCCCGGCGTGGGAGGCTCTTTGTCCCAGCTGACATTTGCCAACCCAGGAGGGCCCTGCACACCCCGCGCTGCAGCCGCCTCGCGTGGGAAGCGTGAT